TTTCCAGTACTCCAGGGAGAAGACATCACATGGCCACAGAGGGGTTTTCCAAGCCAGAGCCAAAAAAATGCACGCCTACACTGCCTTAGTTTCATGCCAGGAAGCATCTTGGCACCTGCTACCTCCCCAAACGAAAGGACAACTCGCTCCTCAGTGTGGCACCAGGCACCATTTGCATAAGCTCTTTCTCTTGCAAAGTGTATTCGCCACCTAGCAAAACATTATCTCTAATCCTTGCATGGGTTTGGTACCTGGAGCAGCAAAGAGTATGTGTATGTCCATTAGACGCCTGGACTAGGGACAGACATTATAAATAAACCGGTTTAAACCTGTAACAGAACATAAGTTTGTTGCCCATAAACCCATTTCAAAATGGCCGAAACTGGTTTAAGATAAACCTGGTTGAATGCAGTATCAGACTTAACTGACTTGGGTCAATCCGGTTTATGCAATGTCTGTCCCAGACCATGGTGATCCAGAACACAGGTCTGAGCTCTGCACAGCACAGTGCAGGGAGATCTTTCACAACCACCTAGAGCAGTCACGTTCAACCTATGGTCTGTGGGCCCCTGGGGGCCCACCAACTATGTCTAAGGGGTCTGCAAAAGATGACTGTGATCAATCAAAAGCATGTGAATTCCACACTTACAATTCAAAGGAGTCTGCATCTCTGTACAAAATTTCCAAAGGGGTCCGCACCTCCGTTCACATTTTTTAGGGGTCCACAAAGGAAAAAAGGGTACAAAACCACTGATCTAGAGCATATGGACTCTTAGGGGAAACTCTTGTTTAAGTCATTGTTAAAACTATTTTTTAGGGCTAGAGTTTCACCCCTGAGTTCCTATGATGAGCATCTACATTTCCTAGGCAAACTTAAAAATCCATGCGACATACACAATGCACCTCCACTTGAACCTAAAACGTAACTTTGTCATGTGCCCCGTCTTGTCTCTGATGGCTTTGTTTACCCTTAAATATTTTGACCATCGTGGCTTTGGGGAATAAGCCTTTGGGGGAAGGAAGCTATTCTCTCTTTGTTCTGGGATTGTGTTTGTGCAGGACATAACGCACCTGGATCAATAACTACAGATCCTAGGTTCTA